ATTTTATTTTATTTTATTTTATTTTATTTTATTTTATTTTATTTTATTTTATTTTATTTTATTTTATTTTATTTTATTTTATTTTATTTAATTTATTTTATTTTATCTTATTTTATTTTATTTTATTTTATTTTATTTTATTTTAATTTTATTTATTTTATTTTTTTTATTTTTTCATTTTATTTTATTCAATTTTATTAATTCATTATATACTTTTTTTCTATTATTTCAGTTTACTTTATATTAGTTTTTTATATTTGATTTTGCTTTGTTTTTTATATTTATTATATTATTATTATTTTCATGTTATTTTTTTTTTGTTTGACTGTTTTTATTTTAAATTATTTTATATTATTATTTACTTTATTTTACTTTTTGAATATGGCTGTTTATATAATTATGGACATTATTTAAAAGTAACTCAAGTAAGTATTTTTTTCTTAAGGGAGATCCTCTTCAGTTTTTACAAAGGAAACAGGTGAACGGAATACATGCTTCTGGAGAGAAGCGGAGGTAGCTTGCAGACACAATGGAATATAAATTATCATGTACTGTTAAGTCGTTTGGATTTTTGAGAGCGAAACGGCTTTGCCTAAGGATGGTTTTTTCCACAATCCATTGCTTGAGCAACTTCTTGCATCATAACTTCCTGATTAATAAATGTCAACAAGATTCTAATTCACCTTTGCTTTCTGGTTATGGTTTCGAAGGCAGCGGCATAGCTGAATTTCTTGGAAGCTGAACACTGTTCCAAGAAAATTTAACACCAGAAAATGTTTGACCTTTTTCTGAGTGTTTTTTGTATGGAGCTTTTCCATTTCTTTAGAGCTCGAAAATATGCTTAAATACGTGTTTGAAAGAGAAATAAATATTTTACGCAGAGGCTTTGGTCCCTTCGCAGTTTCAGGGTTCGAATTTTGGTCTGATTACCAGAAAATATAGAAAATTAATTGCAAGTTCATTTCTAACATTAAATTTAAGCTCCTCAAAAAGTTTATCGGACTGTTGGGGCAGTATTAAGACACACACCACAATTTGGAGGAGGAGCTTGATCGAAAGTTATTTCAGCGGTTACAAAGCGCCAAATATGTTTTCCGAAAACACATCTTAGAGCTTTACCAAATGCCTTTGTTTTCAGTTTTTTATTCCAGTTGATTTTTAAAACGCAATGTGTCTCAAGCATGAAATTACGTTGTTGTGTAATATAATGATATTTCTTTGCTTTGTGCGAGGTAGAAGAAATTTGTCTAGCTGCGAGCGATGTACTGCGTTTTAATATACAAACGTACCTGATTTTACAGAAAGGGGAGAATGAAAAAACGCTCACAAAATATAACAAAATTATCTTTTCGCGCAACAAAGCAACATCATTAAATTTAAGACTGGAGGAAATATATTTATTTATTTTTTATTTGTTATTTTTTGGAGTGCACAGATGCTTATCTTGTATTTTTGTGTACGTATACTCGTATATGAGTATTAGTAGCGTCGAATTTTCGTGTGTTACGTATACGCCTTGTTGGCCTGAGCGCACCTACCAACCGGGTGTGTATTAATACATACATACATTTATTACGCCAAAGGGCAATTCTGTTTTTCGTACAGCTCGCGTTTAAGTCTTTGTATTGTAGCTTACCTGCAAAGAAAAGAGAAAAGAGGAAATTTTATAAATTTTGTTAAAATCGTGAAATTGTTGCTGAGCAAAAGAAAAATTTAATAATCTCAAGAATGCTGTTACATAAAATGTATGTATGTATGTATGTATATGTATATATGTGGATATAAAAAATGTAGTGAGGATGAAGAATAAGATAAACAAAATAAAACGTTAGTGGGTTGTAGTGCCATTTGAGGCTATTTCCCTCTGTAAGCAGAAAATTTTTAAACACAATTTTTTCACAAAAATTTACTTAAATTTGTTACCTAGTTTATTTTAATATTTCCTTCAATCACAATGATTTCGTTATATAACTTGTTACTTAATTCTTTTATTTTTTACTCTTTTATTATTTTGCTTTATATTCCTTGCTTTTCATATCTATAAATCAGCTTGAATGTTATATTTTTTTTTGAACAAAAACTCAGATATTTTACAGAAAACAACCAGAGCTGATGCCAAAATAAAGCAGCGAGCAGTGTAAGGTTTGATCAAAATATGCATCTGCGTATCAGCAAGCATCAGAATAGATGCGAAAAAGTTCAAAAAAAAGTTCAACACAGCCGCTTACACGTCAAACAGGAAAAAATCCAAAAAACTTGTCAAAGAAAGAGGAGTAGAATAGATATAACAGAAAGAAACTCTACTTATACATACACTATGCTTTGAGAAGGTGCCGTTGGAGACAAAGTCAAACAGGCGCCGTTCAGGGAAGGGAGGTTTGCCTTATTTTATTTAATCGAGGGAATTTTTATAACTTAATTTTGCCTTTGCTAAATTGCGTCAGCACAAAAACCTGCAACAACGAGAGAAAAAGAAAAACATTTTCTGCGGACTGACGGCGACGTTGGTAGCTAGGCTTGATATTCATCAATTTCTTCGGAGTCATTTGACCTTTTATCACTTTTTTTTAGCTGTACTCAAAACTCCGTTTCTATTTTTTTTTTTTTGGCTTACTTTTGTACGGTTTGTTCTTTTGGCTCTTTTTGGTTCTTTTACTGCTACGCAAGAATAAATTCTTACTTGAAATCAATAAAAGCTTAAATATTTTCTAATAAATAACGTGCCTTTCATTCATTTTAGAATTCTATTCAAATTAGACGGGCAAGGACTGTATTGATATATGTAGGCATGAACGTTGTTGACTTCTAGCATTTTCTTCATTTAAGGTTGTTACTTATTTACAATAATTTTGTTTCCTAGTTAATTAAACATTTTGCTCAAAATCTAGTCAATTTAAAAGAAATATTCATACAGATCAGCACACAGTGGAAATGAGTAATGAGAAGTTTTTAAAGATGACTCCTGCGGACTTGGGCGCTAAGTATTATGTAATAGATGTATCTCTTGAATGAGCACAAAACAAGAAATACCGGAACATTAAACTTATATTTATTTTCAGTTTATTTAATGTTATTTTTTTAATTCTTTTATCTAAGTTTATTTAATTTCATTTCATTTTATTTGATTTTATTTCATGAATTTTATTTCAATTTATTTTCTGTAATTTATTTAATATAATTAATTTTAATTTTAGCTAATTTTATTTGATTTTATTTTATATTTTTCTTTAAATATAAATTTTTTCAATTAAATAAATTTTTTTTTAAGTTTATAGTGAGCTGAAGTCCTGGTTAGCTTATATTAATTGAATATTTTTGTTAAACAAAAAAGAAAAACGACAGAAGCGACAGCTGTTTCGGAGATCATAACATCTTCTCATCAGACTTCTTATAAATAGCAGAGATCGATTCCACAGATTTTGACTTAATTAATTTTTTTTTTAATTTACTTTTATTTAATTAATTTTATTTTATTTTTCATATATAATTCATATTTAATTTGATCTTCTAAATTAATTAAATTTATTTTTATTTTGTTTTATATTAATTTTATTTATTGTTTTTATTTGGTTTCATATTTCATTACTTTACTTTATTTACTTTTATTATTTATTTATTTATTTAATTGTTTGCACGATTGTTTGTTTACCAGGCAGAATCTAATGAAATATGCCCAAAATAACATCAAATACAAACAAGAATATGTATTTACATACATTTTATATCAAATCATATGTTCGTTTTAGTATATGAGTATGGGCAAGCGCATAAATTCCCAAAGGCTTAAAACTTTAGCAAACAAATGTCGCTACGGCATGCAAGCACTAAACATTTCGCACATTCTTTCATATATATATTTATATATATAACAGTCTTGAGCAATAAATATTGGTCCGCCAGACACATATACTTTTGCAAATATGTTAGGGATGTTCATTTTTCTTTGAAAATATTGAAAATATTGATAGAAATATTTTTTAAAGAACTCAAAAATATTAAAAAAATATTAATAGAAAATTTTTCTAGTAATGCGAAAATTTCGTTTCCGAGAAATCCCAGTTTGAGCTTATCCTGTATACTAAGGATATGCTTAATGATTTCTTAGCACATTATGTTCACAAAGAAATAAATGTGTTAAATCCACTTTCATATGTGTGTTCACACACCTGCGGCCATGTGTTCTTATCCACACCATACTATCTAATGGTATTCGCAAGTATATATGTGTAAGTTATATGACCCAAACACCCGAAGTACAACCGTAAAGTTTTCTCCACAAGCAAACATGAACACATGCATATTTAAAGCTTTTACTGCAAAGGCAGTTGGATATTACTATATACTGCATACCGGCAAAAGTAAATATGTACATATAAAAACAACAACAGAAATTTATAAATTCTATATTCAGTGACGACAGAAAGCACCACAAAACTCCCCACCACACAGACATACACACACAAGGCCACAAACGCTTACCTCAAACAATTATATATGTATGTTTGTGTTGTTAACACCTTTCTATGTCGGAGTTTATCGCCCTGCCAGGAACATTCGTTTTCAATATTCCTGTACATCTTGTCGTTAGAATTTAGTATGGAAACTTCTTCTCTCGTTCGTTTTACTTTGAGTTTTCCTTCGGTATGTACCGTTATCATGTGCTATTTATTAATATTGTGCGCAAATATTTGTCAACCTAATTAATAATTATGTTCAACACAATGCAATCGGTAAAGTTTTCAAAACAAAACAACACAAAAACGACAATAATGCTCAAAAGACAAGGTGTCTGGCATCTAAGGCGTTTGGTCAACCCAACAGGAAAAAGGGAGTATCTACTTTGGATGAGGCCTTAGCCTACACTCAAGTTTTTATGAAATTTAGAGTTCTAAAAGGCCATATGAAAATTAGATCGGATCCATTATCAATCAGCTGAGTTTTTTTGTAAGAGCTATATGCTTAGACTGGCGCAACTTGACTGAATATTCGCGATCTTTAGTTGATCAACTTCGTAATCTTTCCTTTCAGTAGAGAAACCTACGGGAAGTTACCCATTTATGACATTTTCTTGAGACGCATTTTTCTAAAAACCTAATTTCACGCTAGCGATGACGACACACACATCCACATGCGCCTACTCTAACATATTATATACACACATATTTTTATACATATGTACATATAGCTTTCCATGAAAACAGAGTATGAAAATGGTTGTGAAAATTTATTTGTTCGCCTGTCACATAAAACCAAGCGAACAATAGCAACAGAGAAGAGAATGTAAAAAAAAAACATCAATTCAAAACTCAAATGTATGTATGTGTGTATATGTGTATGCGTGTACGATATATAAAAGCAGTGTTGGTGGTGATGTGTTTGTACTCGCCACTGCTGATGGCGGTAATATTGGCGCGTTTGCAAAGTTTTTTCGAAAAGCACATATTTACCCATACATACAGACATTTTTCGAAATTTATTTTAATGTTTGCAGGTAAATATAAATATACACGTTAAGCCTACAGTCGTCTATAAATATGCACAGTTATAAGCACGAGTATACGTGTGCCCTGTGGTTGTTTGTTTACTCTCACATTAGCGTGTGCCAACACGACGCTACTCCAATTTGTTTCCTTCAACTTCACCTTCACCTACCGATTGCGCCGCTTGCTTTCCGTTTTTGCTAAGCACGACAGTACTTTCTCATCTATATATGTATGTGTGCTTTTGCGATATCATTGCAGTTGTTTCGGTTAGCGTATTTTTCATTAAAAAGTTGGCACTAACATGCCAACAACAACAGCAAGGCCATGTGTGTATTTGGCGCCAAAGTCGTTTTTATGGCGAACAAAAAAGTGAGTGAAATTTCCAGTTCAAGGATTGCAAAGCAGCGGGGCACAGGAGAAGAGGGGTATGGCTGTATTTATTTGCCGTGCTTGTCTAATAATTTGACATGACAGCCTATTTTCCTTCGAGTGTGGCTCAAGAAATGCTGAGCAAAGAAAAAAAAATTAACTAAATAATATTTTGTTAGAATTTAAAGAAAAGAATTCAAACATTTTAAAATAGAGCACTTTTTTAAGATGCAATGACGTCAAATGGAAAATACAAGTTTTTGGTGAACATTGCATATTACTGATAACGAGATTTTGCTCTTTACTATCACAAGTCGCGGTGTCCCGTGCGACTTCATAGAGCATTAATTTAAACACCACAGCAAATAAACAAAGATACTTATAAAAAATGGGAAACATTTTTTTTTACAGAGAATAGGACTATAAATATAAAGGAACTTGCAATCTTTTGACTAACTTAGATAATGGCTTTTAAGGTTAATTTCAGTCCAAAGTTTTTTTAGGTAGCAATATTGGAATTTGCATTGCGTACTACCGTTTGCAAGACGAGAGTCCGAGTTTCTGGTTCGATCAACATTTGAAATTATAGAAAATTAAATTTCCGAATGTGGTCGGAGAGCTTGACTTTCTTAGGGGCGAATGTAATTAAAAAATTTAACTTAATTTTTTTTAAATTAAATTTAATTATTTAATTAAAATTATTTAAATTGATTTCCTATGAGTTTTTGGATAATTATCGAAGCAGAACTTGAGCCCTGGCCTTCCGAATTGCAGTACGCAATGC